GGGGGGGGGGGCTGTATCTCCACTTCAGCGGAAAGGACGGTTCTAGAGATTACTACTGTCTTTCCCCGAATAGAAAGGGCCGGTCGTTCTCTAGACTGCCCCAAATGCAGCTATAATGACAGTCACTGCGTTTTGTACTAGAGAGAGGTGGACGTTCCCAAAGTTGATTACAATACGTCGGCCAGACCAGATGACCGAGCACAACTAGAGACATAGCGAATTCTCACTGCGATCAGCGACACGTGAAGAACATGCATCACTCACATCGCACAGACATAGCCACTGTCATATAGCACATAGTACACATACACAGTAATTCCACGTAATGTTCTTTTTGTTCTCCTTCCTCTCTTTTTCGTCTCTATTTTTTTTTTGTTCTCTCTTTCCTTCTTCTACTTCTTTCTTCTTTCTTATGTTCCTTTTTTTTTTTCCCTTCACTTCTTTGATGTTCTTCTTCTTCTTCTACTTCTTCGTCAACTAGTATTCTTTTTCTCCATAACTTTTTCTCTTTCTCTTCTTCTCCTTCTCCATAACTTCATTCTCTTTCTCCTCAGCTTCTTCTTCTTCTTTATAACTTAAACTTTTTCTTGCTCTTCTTCTTCATAAGTCGTTCACTTAACTTCTTCGTTTTCTTGAACTTCTTCTACTGGCAGCCTGTAGCAGGCAAGCTTTAAGGACGACAATTCGTTCGCATTCTATTTGAGCGATAGACTCTACTGCGTATTTCCGGAAGAAGGGGGTTTTCGATCTCCTTACCTCGTAATAATGAGAATGCCACAGTTTCTTCTCTTCATCAGGAAGATTCGAGAACAACTTTTCTGACACGACGTACTCGATGCCAATCAGCTTTGCATCTTTCTTATCCGAGTCATACACCAGACATTGCATGAAATCTTCGTTCAGTTTCGCAATGAAATGGTGGGTTTCGATCACTCGCCGTATGTCATGACAGTAGTGAGCCCAACTGCACCCATGCTCCTTGATCATGTTCACCGGGTCGAACCTCTCTGCCATGGACGCAGCCTGGTCCCTCAATCTGGTCCCAATCCCTTTCTCCTCGCCGGGAACACGTGCAACCCCACCTTCCGTTTGCCCAGCCATCACTGGCTGGGGCGCATCACTTCGAAGATTACTCATCCTCCTCGCGCCACTCGGTGGCACTCACACTTCCACCAAACCTCTACCCAAAACTGCACCAAAACTCCACCAAAACTCCACCAAAACTCCACCAAAACTCACCGAAACTTCACCGAAACTCAACAAACTGCACTGAAACTTCCACTGAACTTGCAAACTTGCGGCAGTGAAACTTCAGCAGACCTTCAGAAACACCAACACTGGTACCGTTGCGAGTCGGAGGCTTGAGTCAAACTGCTGCGATGCAGAAAAAAAACGTCGTAGTCACTGGTCAGGAAACGGCGTATTTCAACTCTGACGTCATCCGTTCTTTTGTAAAGTAATTGTCCTTTCAGTGAACGACAAATGAGGGTCAAGAACACACACATCAGACAGACAGACCTTTCCATGCTGGCATCCCTCTTCCCCTTCTATTGTCGAAGTAAAACAGCTTCCACTCGAGATACAGGGCCTCGCTGCACTACACTTGAATCTTGAAGAATTGAGTGTACGGCACCGCCGCACTTACACTCCAAAACAAAGCTGGGAAGCAGCTTCAAGAGCTGTCAGATTGGCGCTAGATTCATCAAGAGTGAGTCATCGCTGCACTCACTCTTGACGGATGCTCTTGAATTTCTTTTTCAAGAGGTGTCAGAAGGCCCGATTCTAACAGCTCTTGGAGTGTTCAAGTGTGCCTGCCTGCAAGGGTGGGGTTTTTAAGGGTGGTGGGCCCGACCCTTCACGAGCTCTTCAGCTTCCAAGAGCGGGCCTCCAGTCTGGGCGGACAAAGCAGCGTTGCACCGTCGTGTAGCATTCACGACTGGGGAAAAAAAACAAAAAACAAATCAAGAATCCTTCAAGAGTAGGGCCGTCGAGAGTCAGTGCAGCGACAACAGCTATTGTGAGCATTTCTCTTGTCTGAGAGCTCTTGATCTATGCTTGAACTTTTCGTGAGTCAAGCGTAGTGCAGTGAGGCCCACAATCATACATGGCCTTCTCACAGCATCACATGGTGTCATGGACCCCCTTTCCGTCGATTGCACTCCTGCTCCCCTCCTCCTTTCCATCCTCCTTGGCTCTATTTCGCAGACTGAATTCGTGTCACGAGTCATGACAGGTCACCCCGCTCATTGCAGTCATTTTATCTCACCCCACGAACCAACATCATAGCAGTTGTTTTCTTAGGGCGACTTTCAGGGCATACTCAGGGTATACTCACACACGGGGACCTATAATCCCAAAATCCCAAGAAAAAGGGGAAAATGCCGGTCACACGGATCTACCGAATTCGCAAATGTACTATTCCAGTGCCCATTTGTCAGCGACCTGGGAAGCCGCGGGGCAAGGGATTTTGCGTTGTGTGACCAGCCAAGTACCGAATCCCCATTTCTCCAGACGGCCGCAACCTTGTCCCATCTGAGTGCATACTCAGGGCATTCTCACTCGGCAACCCCAAATCCGCAATTTGGGAAGGGCCGATTGAGGTTTGGGGCATGGTTCACTTCACACTGCTGTGCCTTTTCAGGTGGGACAAGGTCGCGGCCGTCTGGAGAAATGGGGATTTGGTACTTGGCTGATCACACGGAGCCATCCACCAATTGTGCAAGAACTTTTGTGAACGAATACGTGCCAATTTTCGAAGAATATGCAAAAAACAAAAAGGGGAATTTGCGGTCACCTCCAGAGGTAACAAAATCCCTTCCGCGGCTTCCCAGGCTGCTGACAAATGGGCACTGCACACTCACACGGGGACCTATAATCCCAAAATCCCAAAAAAAAGGGGAAAAGGCCCGTCACACAGACCATGACCGCAAATTCCCTTTTACTTTTCTTGCATTTTCTTCAAAAATTGGCAAGAATTCGTTCACAAAAGCTCTTGCACAATTGGTGGATGGCTCCGTGTGATCAGCCGAGTACCAAATCCCCATTTCTCCAGACGGCCGCGACCTTGTCCCATCTGAAAAGGCACAGCAGTGTGAGGTGAACCATGCCCAAAACCTCAAATCGGCCCTTCCCAAATCCGTATATTTTTGCGGATTTGGGGTCGCCGTGTGAGTGTGCCCTCACACGGGGACCTATGTTCCCATAATCCCCCCAAAAAGGGGAAAAGGCCGGTCACACGGATCTACCCAATTCGCAAATGTACTATTCCTGTGCCCATTTGTCAAATTGTCAGCGGAGGTGACCGCAAATGCCCTATTTCATTTTTCGCCTTTTCTTCGAAAATTGGCAAAATTTCGTTCACAAAAGTTCTTGCACAATCTGTGGATGATGGCGCCGAGTGACCAGCCAAGTACCAAATCCACAGTTCTCCAGACCGCCACGACCTTGTCCCATCTGAAAAGGTACACAGCAGTGACACGTGAACCATGCCCAAATGCTCTCCGAATCACTGGAACCATTACCACGTTTCGGTTCCAGTTTAAACCAGCAGTACTTGGCCCAGCTATCCCCCAGCTATCCCCCAGCTATCCCCCACAGACAAAAAGCAGTAGAAATGTTGTTGTTGTTGTTGTTGTTGTTGTTGTTGTTTTTTTTTTTTTTTTTTTTTTTTTTTTTTTTAAATCGTATGAATTTGGGCGCTCCTGAAGTGGCCAGAAAAATTCCGAAATTGTCGCTTGTTAACGTGCACAACTTTAGGACGTACTGCTGGTTGAAGCGCGTGGGTGCGACCACAGACTCACAGGGCGCGGTTAACTCCTGTACCTGGCGTAAGCCATTCCCTGGGAAAGGTTCTTTTTTACCCATCCATACATGCACACTGCACAGTGCACACTAAATGAACTGCCCCAAGCAGAATCTGGAATGTGGACAGTACCGAAACTCACCCACACGCATGTGCACAGCTTGCATTGATCGACTCCTGACGAAAGAGGGATAGGGATTCGAGCCCCTACATACTAATTATCATTCCGCTGTTCTAACCTACCGGTAGTAGTACGCCCAACTCACCTATAACAGGCTATAAGATGCATCTTGCCACTCTTTGTTGCATCTTACCGGTTTCTGTGCAATGCCTAAACTCCCCCACTGTGATGCGTACACTGGCATTCAACACACTGACCCACAGGGAAGCGGCGCAGAGGGGAAGAAGTCCGTGTCAAATTTTCACTCGTCACAGCGCCCGTTGACCTGTTGCATCCGTCCGCTGACTCAGGCCCACCTAGGTGAGTTCGATCATGATGCTAATTTGACAAAGAGCCTCGCCACACCACTGTCAAAACGACAGAGGTACTAGTAATCTAGTGCATCTTCCACAGAAAGCAGTAAGATGCAACAAAGAGTGGCAAGATGCATCCGTTATAAAAACGGATGCATCTTGCCACTCTTTGCGGCAACACGCACTCGTACTTCTCTCGTTTCCACAGTGGTGTGGCGAGGGCCATAAATAAGCCTGACGTGAAACATACCGTGCCCATGACAGTACACCACGTTCAAGCAACCGCTGCAGCACTGCTCTCAGCCTCTCGGTGCTCTGCCCCCACCAGCCTCAAGGCCCGCAAATCAATCGACAGATTCGACACTCGTCATATTCTCAAAAGCTTCAACAATACAAACACAGCTATGGACGACATAACTGGGCGAGAGAAGGTCCAATGAGCAAGATCGTGGGGGGGACGTGTCGAGATCCCATACGAGAAGGCAATAGAAAACGAAAAAAACAAAAATAGAAAGCAAAAATAAAAACTGAATAAAGTCGGGTACCACGCTTCCGTTGGCAGAGAAGATGAAATCCTCGGAGATGAAGAAAACGGACGGCCTGAGGAGCGGAAGAAACACGATATCATGCTTATTCTGTCTTTCACCATCATTTACGGTCATCTTCTCTCTCTCTCTCTCTCTCTCTCTCTCTCTCTCTCTCTCTCTCTCTCTCTCTCTCTCTCTCTCTCTCTCTCTGTGTGTGTCTCTGTGTCTGTGTCTGTGTCTGTGTCTGTGTGTATCAATCCAATCCTAACTATTATTGTGTTTTTTTCCTTTCTCCATTTCTGCTTGTCATCCTTGCTAGTGCCATCATTACGCTAATCTTCTCTCTCTCTCTCTCTCTCTGGATGTTGAAGTGACACTATGGACTCTAGTGAAGCTGCATTACAAAACGAAAAGATTGGCGGCGAAATGGAACAGCATGAGAATTTGAGAAACACGACCAAAACCGAAGAACTTTTAAGACATTACATCTTTCTGGACACAACCATGACCGACGAGCGGAGAAACGGAACAACGGCGCATCTTACTATGGTTAACTATGGTTATGGCATCGACTGCAACCAAGGGTAAACCTAAAGGTAGAAAACGGAAGTGAAAACAAACCACGGACAAACATGATTGATGAGCGGCGAAACGGGACAACGGCACAGGTTACTATGGTTAACAATAGTTAAGGCGTTGACTACGACCAATGGTAAAGCTAAAGGCAGAAAACAGAACCAAAAGCCAACCAAGGTGAGGACAAACGAAAAACTAGACACACTGTCCTTCCGGCATCAGTTAAAGGTCAAACAGAAGGACAAACAAACCAAGACGAGGACGAGGGAAAAACTTGACACACTGTCCCTCGGGCCTCGGGCCATTAGTTAAAATTGGAGCGATACAGAGGGTGAAGGTTAGGCATGGTCGCTGACTCGCTGCGCAACGATGACACGCATTAAACCGAGATAACGAAACACACACACACACACACAAAAACACAAAAACACAAAAACACAAAAACACAAAAACACAAACGAGACACACGTTTTGTTACCAAATCTTCGGCCGGAGAAACGCCTAAACACACGTTTTGTTAACAAATCTTCGGCCGGAGAAACGCCTATCCAGCCTCGTCATGAATTCCCGCCGTCGGCAGACTATCACCCACATATCACCCACCCTTGGCCCGACACCCCGCCGATTTGTCAAACCCGCCAACCTCGCTCCAATACGCACCAAAGGTTCAAAATGAAAATGAACCTTCTGCTAGAACATGGGAACATATGTCTTTTGCGCATGTGGTGAGTAGTACTGTAGCGGAGCGACGTCCTTTTTCCGGCTTAGAAATAACGAGTTTCGCAAAGTTGCAAACCATTAGCCATGCGACCGATTCCCCCAACCTTTCAGAGTACTCTCTCTCTCTCTCTCT